GTGTAGGCAATCCCTTAGATACTAATGGGCCTGTGGAAAGTTCTTTATGACTTGAAATATTCCAGGGAACCCCTATGGGAAATTGAAAAACACAGTATTCATCACCTCAGGAACAGTACCTTCTTTTTCTAGGGTAATAGAGGAATAAGACTGATACAGCTAAAGCATTGTTTTCTTTTTAATGGCAAGAAACTAGAAAGACTCTGAGTCACTAAAATGCCATATGGAGAAAAATATTTAAGGGAAAATGAATAAGAGGTATGCTGTGGCACATAAAATAATGTAATCATAAAAAATAAATGAACAGATGCTCCATCATAACTTTGTTATGACCTTGAAGGTGTAAAAGCAATTTTTGACCCCAACTTCATGTCTTTGGTTGGGGGCTTTCATATTAGTCTCAGAATAAATTTTATTGCTGTTACCAAGCTACATCTTTCCACAATTCAAAACAAAAGGGAAATAACATGAATTTATCCTAGAGATCCAACCATTATATCTCCCATCATGTTGTTTAATTTTGTTCCCCATAAGTCTTCTTTGTTTTTTTTTTATCCAACCTAGATAACCTTAGAAACTTCTTATTTTTATTTTATAATTCTAAAAGGAGGGAGTAAGAATTAGAATTTCAATTCCACTGAATTTAAGTAATTTACTTGTTATCCAAAATTATCTTTGGATATACACAAGAAAATATATACATCCTGTCTAAAAGTATATATGCCACCATTTTAATACAACTGATGCTTTCATATAATCAATATAAACTTTGACTAATTATGTAGATACAGTATTTTTGTTTATTATACAACACAAATTTCATGAGTATATAGCTTTTTAATAGTGTATTCTATTATTATTATGGGAGCTCTGGTGGTGTAGTGCCTAAGACATTTGACTGCTAACCAGAAGGCTGGTGGTTCAAACCTGTCAGCCACTCCCCGGAAGGAAGGTTGGGCAATCTACTTCCATAGTGATACTGCCTTGGAAACCCAAGAATGGGTCATTATGAGTTGCTATTGACTCAATGGCAGTGAGTTTTTATTATTATAGATATTGCAATTGAAAATGTGGTTTGGAAATAGAAAATGTACTTCAAAAAAAATAATAAAATTTCATATTGTGAAACAAATTGATGCAAGCCAGTGTTTCATATACTCATATTCTGTGGATATTTCTTTGACAGGCTCTTAAGAAGTTTACAGACAGATAGAAATACACTCTGTGATCACATAACTTTAGGTTACACTGGATTAAGCAAAGAAAAACCAATGGATTTCTTTACTATAGGATATCTGAGCCTTTAATCCCCAGTATGCAATGTGAATCAACAAAAAGGAGCAAGAGTATATAGTATTTGCCAGTATTAATTGACCAGATATCTATAAATGATCCCTAGAGAAGTGTCCTATTGAGTACATTTTGAAAGACTGATATCAACTGAACTTTTTATCTATATTCAAAATCTGCTCACCTTTGTGTAAACTTTCTTTATTGGGTGTTATATGTCTTTGTATTTAATGTATGCGTAATACTTGAGAATGAGAAAAAGTAAAATGTACATCTTGACCTTAAAAATTACAATTAACTCAGTGTTCATGATATTCTTTGTTTGCCTTCTTAACTTTTCTTTTTAAATTATTTTAATACTACGTAAACTACCACAGCAATAATGGCCTGGAAATGGACACTTAATCATATATATATATATATATATATATATAAACACTTGCTTAAGGAAAGGATATAGTTTCTTCTGAGAATGTGAAATTCCAATGAATAAAATTGTAAATTTACAGTAGGATTTTTCTTAAATTTTTATTTTCTTTCTTTTTTTTTTTTTTTGTCTGAAGCCTAGAGGAGTCACAGTGAGGGTGAATCACTAAAGGTAGATTTTAGTTTCTATGGAAACAACATTCAAATAGCAAATTCAAGATGTTGTTGTTGTTATATGCCGTCGAGTTGGCCCCGACTCCTAGTGACCCCTTCTTGGGTTTCCAAGGTGATATCACTACAAAAGTGGATTGTCCAACCTTTCTGCTGGGGAGTGGCTGGTGGGTTTGAGCCACCAGCCTTCTGATTAGCAGTCAAGTGCCTTAGGCACTATGCTACCAGAGCTCCTAAATTCAAGATAGCTTAAAAAATATTAGTTCAATAAAAGTACCATTTTGCTGATTACATGATGGATATTATGAGTTGTGATTCTAGTAATTAAATTCTATGATTCCTATTCTGTGTTATAAAAGTGTGTGATCTATGGGTAAGACATTCATGACTTTCTAACTATGAGCTTTAGGTTTTCAAATCTATCTTGCATTCTACTACTCTATCAATTTTCATCTGGAGTCCTGTGATTAACTTCTTGCTTCCAACCTTCTATTCTTTGCAGTGGATGGGAAGGTAGTGGAAAACTTTAAGTTTTTTAAAAATGACTCTGATATAGTATGTCCAGCTATCTTCTCATTGAAACACCTACTGTAAAGCTTAAGCACTTCATTTCTTTTTGATACCCATTATAATTCAATTTTCAAGTGAAAGGTCTCCATTTAAAACCCTAAGAATGATATTAACGAAGATGATGATAAGTATGACATGTCAGACATCATGCTTTGTGATTAACATATAACTATGACTAAGAAGGAACCTGGTGAAGTGGTTAAGTGCTCAGCTGCTAAACAGAAGACTGGTGATTCAAACCCGTCAGCATGCTGCATGGGACAAAGAAAGATTTAACAGTCTCTGTAAAGATTTACAGCCTTGGAAGCCCTGAGGGGCAGTTCTACTCTGTCCTAACGGGGTCCCTATAGGCCCGTTATAAGTAGCAATTGACACAACAGCAACCTTTTGTTTTGTTTTATGACTAAGTGATGTTCATTTCTAGTTTTAAAATAAATACTATGAAAATTTATCTACTGAAAATATACTGAAGGTGCCAGATAAGATTTTTTCAACCTTTTAATATTCATCACTGATCCTGCAAGAAAATGAGGAAATCTCAGAGCCTCAAAAAGATGTGAAATCTGAAATGTAGAGAGCTAACGAAGCACAGAAGTTGACTTTGTCCTGAGGGCATCTGCTGATGGCTGCTGACATTAAGCTTCCATTTTGATAATCCCATTGGGCTCAAAAAATAGGAAGCCAAGTCTAAAGTCTTTCCAATGTTGAAAAGGTAATAGGAGATTGTCAAATATAAGGGAAAATATTAATAATATTAATACAAACTTAAATTACAGGATGAATAGGTCAACAAAAATACCTGAAGATCTCTGGATGGAGTGTTATATGGACTTAATGGGAATTTACGCATATAAAGATATTTTTGGACAAACAACCTGAGCTTACCACCACAAAGCCTGTGTTTATAAAGCTATTGCTGCATATTTGATGAGATTTTAGGTGATTCTATTATATGTTTTCCATATAATAAGAAGCCCTGGTGGTTCAATGGTTAAATGCTTGGCTGCCACAAACTGTTGGTTTGAATCTACCCAGCAGCTCTAAAGATAAAAGACCTGGTAAACTGCTTCCATAAAGATTACAGCTTAGGAAACTGTTCTACTCTGTAACACATGGGGTCACCATGAGTCAGAATCAACTTGATGGTACCCAACAACAACATATAATTGCAAGGGCCTATGATTGTCATGGCTCCAGCTGTTCTCTGAAACCTCTCATCCAGCCTGTGATGCAAATGCTAATGTTATTAAACTAATTTGAAATTCCTAACACTAAACTTGGGAGCCCTGGTGGCACAGTGGTTAAGCACTTGTCTGTTAACTAAAAGGTCAACAGTTCAAGCTTACATACAGGAGAAAGATGTAGCAGTCTGATTCTGTAAAGATTTACGGCCTTGGAAACCCTATGGGGCAGTTCTACTTTGTGTATAGGGTCACTGTGAGTTGGAATTGATGGCAACAAGTTAACACTAAAATCTCTCCTGTACATTTGACAGCAAAGGCAAGTGTTTAATTTTCAGAGCTTCTTTTAACAGTAGGGTGATTTTATAATTTACTGTCCAGATTGAAACATTCTTGAAGGTGAAAGAAACTTATTAATGATCTTGCATAGACCACAGGCCCTATTGGATCTATGACTAAAATGAACCAATAGTCCCTGTAGCCCACTCCCATTAGAACATCAATAAAATTTCTTTGGTGAAGGTAGCTGGATATCACCTTGGAAAACACAGACCTCATGGGAATTCCTCATGTTCTATGTTACTCCAGGTTTCTTGAGATTCATATACTTTAAATAATTTAAACTTGTGGTATGTTCTCATTTGAAATACTGTTATTGAGGAAGTATGTGCATGTCTATGCAATGAATACAAAACCAAAACCAAACCCATTGCCCTCAAGTTGATTCTGACTCATAGTGATCCTACAGGACATAGCATAACTGCCTCATAGGGTTTCTAAGACTGTATGTAATCTCTACAGAAGCCTCATCTTCCTCCCACAAAGGAGCTGTTTGGTTAGAACCACTGACCTTCTGGTGGCAGCTGAATGTTTTAACCAGTATGCCACCAGGGTTCCTGTGTACTAAATAAAGAACCAATCCAAACTAACTGCCATCAACTGGATTCAACTCATAGCAAACCCCATTGGGTTTCCAAGGCTGTGAATCATTAGGGAAGCAGATTACCTCATCTTTCTTCCATGGAGTGCCTAGTGGGTTCAAACCTCTGGCCTTTTGGTTAGCAGCTAAATGCCTTAACCACTACACCACCAGAGCTCCTTTTAGAGACCTGTTTTCCTGGATATATTCCATAGTCTTTTTCATTTTCCAAAAGATTTTGTTAGAATCTCTTCAAAGTTATAAAGGTGTATGTTAGTGAATGTATCCTCCAAGGGTGGGTGGGGAGGAATATGGTCATGTATAAACAAATGATGCATTATGCACATGAATACAGTATTTTAACTCAAAAGGGTAGCTATATTTAATATGACTGTAGAAAACATTTTCTGATCATTTGATCTCATATTGTCTTTTCTTTATAGCAACAATTGCATCAACCTGTAATGATCCAGGCATGCCTCAGAATGGCACCCGCTATGGAGATAGCAGGGAACCCGGAGATACCATCACATTCCAGTGTGACCCTGGATATCAGCTTCAAGGGCAAGCTAAAATCACCTGTGTGCAATTGAATAACCGATTCTTTTGGCAACCTGATCCTCCTACCTGCATAGGTACATGTAATAGAAAATTGAAATTTTATATTTGGCAATGAATGCATGTTATCATTAAAATTCCTCCTATAAATGTGTAATTTCTTTGGAAATATATTTCAGGAGTTTCTTACATGCCTTCTCATTCTGTAAGGCTATGTTCAAAATTTTACTGTAATGCTTTAAACTTTATTTTATTAGGTGAAATAAATAAATGTCATTTACTTAATGTAACAGTAACTGATACCTATTCACATTTCCTATATTTCCTATACTTAACAAACCTTGTATGAATATGGACCAATTAAATTAGTCTAATTTAAAATTCTGGGTTTTTTAAAATTTATAACTTTACCAATGCTATTTTCATTTTTAATACACAGTCATTCCCTTAAGCAAAATATTTTCTTTAGATTTTTTTTTTTCTATATCAGTATTATTTTAAATAGAATCTTGAAAACTAGAAATTGTACTGCTCATGTCAAAATGAAAATAAAAAAGAGAACATATTGTTGAAATTCATTAGGATTTTATGGTTTGACCTAATTAAAAAAAAATAACAATTGTTTTGCACACTATAGTTCAGGTAAGTATCAAACATATTTTATCACTTGTATGGTTTTCGAGTAACAAATATGCTTTATATTAAAATAGAAATTGCATGTAGATTGTTTCTTCATTCAGTTATGCATTTCACCATAAAATCACTATTTAGAGTATTAGATCTTAATTTTAAAAGAAATTCTGATAAACTTTATTAAATAACTATCACTAATTTTTTACTTCTTCATAATCTATTTGAAAAATGTAAAATTGAATTAATCTTTAAAGTGAGAAAGAGATAAAGAAATTGGATACATATAGTTAATGGACCATTTTATATAGGATGACGTTAGGGTGATTTTATAATTTTAAATTATTTTTATTGTCGTATCCACAGTTGTACAGAAATTTGCAGTGGTCCTGTAGAGCTAATGATACACAGCTTTTCACATCTTACAAAGCACTTATTACGGTATTCTGAAGAAAGATGAGATTTGACAGCTTTGCTTATTAGCATTCTCAACCTTGTCAGAGAGCTATCCATGTTTATTTAATGTTTTGTGCTGCATTTCCATTTTAAAACTTTTGTGAGCATAGTCATGCATTTTATTTAATTCAAGCTGAGTCATCAGGAGATTTGCAAGATTCCTGTGTGTTTCTTTTTTAAAGTAGAGTAATTACCTACAAATGCAACAATCATTTTAAACAATTGTCCTATTTTTAAATTAGGAAAGGCTTTCAGTTTTTTTCCTCCCATTTTGGATTTTTTTAAAGCTCATCAAGGAGTACATTAAAAAGTAATGCAACTCCAAGTTATCTCTTACAGACAATTGCTGACTTTACATTAATTTAAACAAGTGCCTATTAAATTTGACTGTCTTCCCAACTAATCTATAACCTTTTGTTAGTTCATTTCTTGGTTATGTAATTTTGACCAGCAACTCAATCAGCAAAGAAAATAGATAACATTCATCTGTCTTTGAATATCAGTTCCAAGGACAAGCTAAAATCACTTTTAGGCAATTGAATGATATATTCTTTTGATTTTCTGACCCACCTGAATACATAGATATGAGATGACAAAAAATGGAAAATGTATATTTGAAAGTAAATAAACGTATTTTCATTAAATTGTAAATATTATTCTTTCTTTCAGCAATAAGCTTCATACTCTCCATAAGAATTATTTCCAGATAAAAATTATGTATATGTAGAATGGAAATGAGTTTTTGAAAAATTTTACTGAAGACTCCCCCCTTCTCCCCATTCTATTATAAAACTATACAACTACAAAAAAAAAAAAAAAAAAGCCTTGCCGTCCAATCACTTTAGACTCATGGTGACACCATGTGTAGAACTTGTATGGCAATTTTTTTCTGTGGGTGATCTGAATCTATTCCACAGCTCCATGGGAGAAGGCCTGGTGAACCTAAAGCCTAGAGCAAACAAAAGAAAAACAAACAAACAAACAAAAAAACCTATGGAGCAGTTCTGTTCTCTTAACATAGGGGGTCACTATGAGTAGGGAGCAAAGACAACTAACAACAACAATCTTTATCTACCAGATGCCAAGACTTTGTTGTGTGGTGCCCTGGGTGAGTTCATACAACTAACCTTTAGTTTAGCATCTAGTTGCAAACTTCTTCACCACCAAAGATCTTTTAAATGTAAAGATACTTGAAAATATTTTATTGAGTGCAGGAAAACTGAGTAGTGTTTCACTTGGTCTTGTCTTAACACTCACCTAAGTTCTGTTCTGCTGACCCATAATATAATTTTTATTTTGTAGTATCTTTTCCCCTCATTAAAAGTAAAATGTGTTTCCCACAGACCTTTCATAAGATACACACACACACACACATATATACACATACACACATGATGGGAACAGAAATATATGTGTGTGTGCGTGTGTGTCTCATAAGGAACTCTGGTGGGGTAGTATTTAACTGCTAACCAGAAGGTTAGTGGTTCAATGTCAACAGCCACACCACGGAAGGAAGACCGAGCAATCTACTTCCGTAAAGATTTACCGCCCCGGAAACCTAAAGGGGAATGCTATGAATTGTAATCGACTAGATCGCAGTGAGTTTGTTTTTTGAGTTTATTGCCATCCAGTCTATTCTGACTCATAGCAACACTATGTTTGTTGTTGTTAGGTGCTGTGGCCTGGGCTGTGACTCATAGGGTCATAGGGACCGTATGTACGACGGAATGAAACACTGCCTAATCCAACTCCATCCTCAAAATCCTTGCTGTGTTTGAGCCCACTGTCACAGCCACTGCCTATAGTGACCCTGTAATTAAACAAAAGAGGGGGAAAAAAAAAAAAACTATAATTCTTTTACCTGGAGACAATTACTATTATCACAGACATGAATAAAAATATACTTATTAATTATGTTACATATATGTAATCTCTGTTTAAAGTGTTTTAAAATGGAAGCATTTTATAATCCTATAAGATTATTTTATAAATTCTACTTTTTACTTACCAATACATAATGATTGCATAGTATTTCTTTGTTGGTATACACTAATGTTCATTGCATTAGTTCATTATTATTTTACATTTAGATTATTTCATTTTTTCCCTATTACAAACATTGCTGTGTACACCCTGTTTCAAAATGCATTGCTGATTTTTTATGAATGACATACTTCTAAACTTTACATAGTTCTTAGGCTTTTCAAAGTTTTCAATATTCCTCTAGAAAGACTACACAAATTTACGTTGACTTCAGCTAGGTGGTTGTTGTTGTTGTTATGTGCTATC